CTTTTCTCTTTGTACTATTATGCACCTTTGATGCACATTTCTCTGAAGCTTTCTTCATTTTTTTCCTCTGTGTTCTTTAGGTTGCATAGTTTATAACTGATCTCTTTAAACGTATTGATTCTGTCTTCTTCCTACTCTAATGTACTTTGGAGAATTTTTCATTTCAGTTATTGTACTTTCCATTTCCATGTCCAGATTTTCATTTGGTTCTTTAAAAATAATTTCTGCCCCTTTACTGATATTATTTGATGAGACACTGCCATTATACCCTCATTGTTTAGATACTGTCTCCCTTAGATCTTTGAACATATTTTAATGGCTGCTTTGAAGTGTTTGTCTGCTAAATTCAACATCTGGGTCTCTTCAAGAGCAGTTTTTATTGCCTACTTTTCTTCCTATGTTCAGGTTATACTTTCCTGTTTCTTTGCATGTTTCATAAGTTTTGTTGATAACGGGACATTTTAGATAATATGTCATAGCAATTGTGGACTCTGATTCCTCCCTCCCACGGGGATTTCCATTGTTGCTGTTTGCCTGGTTTTTAATTTGGTAACTTGGTAGAACTGACTCCAAGAATTCTATCCCTTCAGTATAAAACCTCTGATATCCTTGATTTTATTCTTTAAAAAATACATTTATTTATTTCTATGTGGTGCTGAGGATCGAACCCAGCACCTCATATATGCTAGGCAAGTGCTCTACCACTGAGCCCCAGCCCCAGCACCTTGGTTTTATTCTTTTATCTGGAAATCTAGGGTTCATCCCTGGTCCTGCATAGGCTACTTATTGATCAAATGCTGTGTTTTTGTCCCCTTAACCAGTTAGATTTTTACCCTTTGCTATTGAATATGTGTGTGACTTGGAAGCTGCTATCAAAGTTCAATGAGTTCATGTTTCTGCACCACATTCACACAGATCCTTGTTCAGTCACACCTGAGAGAATATCGCCTTGAGCATATATAGTCTTTCAGGTTACCAGGGATGTATGGGATTTTATTTTTAAGCTTGGCTTCCTAGAAGTTGCCTCTGGGTCAGAGTTATTATTTTAATCATTGGTTGGTCCCAGGTAGTACTTAAGCCCCTATGCCAGTGAGGTTGTTTGATCTGTACACAGCTTGGGGACTAGTTTCAAGTCCACCTTATGTCCTGCTCTGATTGCTATCTTAGTGGATGCCAACTTGTGCTTATGAACAGCTTTCCTGACATATAGGATTGACTATGATCCCAGGAGAGCTCTTCTTGACTATCTTTCCCTGATTTTCTGTTACCTATTTTCTGATTATTTGGCCACTTTTTGGTTTTAATTTGTATCATGGACTTATGTGTGCCTACTTAATTGTTCTGAACCATGGTTTTTCAGTTTTGACAATGCCCTTAGGCACTGTCATAAAATTACAAAGTCAAATCCTTTAGGTAGAATTGTGGAGTTCATCCTGAAGGCCTGTCTCTTTAAGCAGAACCCCTGCAACACTATATAAAAGCTTGAGGTAGGCAGTGGCTTTTCCAGAGTGAAATTCCTTCTTTATGAATGGGCATTGGGTGGTGTTTTTGCTAGCTCTTAACAGTATGAACCTCTGATCAAAGAGCAAGCTTGTGCTTGAGCTGTGAGGGGCCTAATATCATCCTTTTGTTCCCCTGTGACTGTCTCCACCCTACCAATGGGGGCTAAGTGAGGAAGAAAAAGCTGAGTGGGAAAAGAAAGGTTAGTACTTCTGGGTCTACTTGTAATAGAGATTTTATAATACAGAACTGAGGAAGATGAAAAAAGTAAGAGGCCTGCCCCTTCCAGTTTAAACCATAGATTTAAACAGGGAGCTAAGGGAAGAGGGAGTCCCCATCTTTTATATCACACCCACCTGGATTAAAGTTCCCTTGAGTAGTTTCCATAAAGCTGGACTTGAAGGGGTTGGGGATGGGAGCAGATCGTGGTTCAAATGCCATTGAATCTTGCTGTTCTTCCTGAGATTTAGTAGATTTTCTTGAATTAACATTTCTCTATTTGCTGTGTACCCCTGAACAATTTCCAGGAACTCTGAATTTTTGAAATAATTTTTACAAGTTAAAAAGCTATTTGTTGGTGAGAGGATTCATTGTGCTCCTTACATCTCCATTCTAGAAGTTGTTCTCCCAGATTATATTTTATATGGCCTTTGAATCTTATTCATTTGACAAATTGTTCTTCTATTTATTTTTATGCCTTGTTATTTTTTCAAATATTTCTTTAAACATATTAGAATGCCTTTCCTCCTCTCCCTCCACCATTAATTGCAGTATAACTGAGATACTTTTTGGTTATCCTTTAAAAATAAGAGCTAAATTTTGGTTATCCTTTAAAAATATAAACTAAATTAGTTTTGACATAGTTTACCCAAAATGACTACATAAGTTACAGCCATTAATTCTTGTCCTGTATATAAATGTAGGGACAAAAACTATTTTAGACATTAGTTTGTACCACTCATAATGAAACTAGCATGTATTAGGAATATTTACATATAAAACTTACTACTGTAAGCTCCTTCATCTTGGATCCCATCATTATCCTAGAACAATTCCTTTCATATAGATAACACTCAAATATATGAAGAATGAATAAACAGGAAGGGATTACTTCTTTTAACAGAAATAAACTGTCATCCACCAAAAGATTATGCTGGCTGGCATACTAGCTGAACCTATTCCTTATTGCAGATCCTCTCCTTCTTTTGTTAGATTTTTGAGACTCATGAAGTTATTTGCAATTATACCTCTAGAGACCCTACTAACATATCCCATTACAACTTCTTAAAGTTCTCTTGGACAGTGTAGGCTTTATTTTTATCTAGAGTGAGTAAGCTAAACTACATGACTCAAGAACTCATCAATTTTAGGTTCTGATAACAAAGATGACCTTTGTAACTCTTGATTAAATCTATTATCCCCTGGACAGTGTTATATCAGAAACCCTGTGTATTTTATTAAACTTGTGAGAGCTTCCATTTCCCCCCTAAAATGGCAGACTCTCCCTCAATTTTTTGAGACAGGGTCTCCCTATATTGTCTAGGCATCTCGAAATCCTGGCTCAAGAAATCCTCCTACCTCAGTGTGCCAAGCAGCTGAGACTATTAGAGCATGTCCCTGTGCCTGGCTCCCCAGTCAATTTAAATCTCCCTACACATGTAGCTTGAAATGGCACAATTATCATTAACTAACCTTATATAACGCCTATATTAGGGGAATCAGGTATCACGTATCTCTTTCTTACAGCACACACACACACACACACACACACACACGGTATATATCTCATTCTATAAAAATTCATACAAAAATCCCAATAAAAACTGATTAAGTATGCCACCCAATGGATGTACTAGAGTACTACACTCATAAAATATATAATACAGTGCATACTTTGCATTTGTAATCTCTTGAAGTTACAAAAACTGCTATAGTTACAAAAGAGATAATGAGAAAAAAAGAAGTGACCATAGTAGGGAAAGAATTCAAAAGTAATGATGGGTATCTCCAGAAGACCAAGATGGGAATGTAAAAATGTGCTTCAAAAACACATAGTACTTTTGTACATCTCTCCAAACCTATAATGGGAGTTGAGAAGTATAGAGGGAAGAGGGAATAATTATGTTCTGAAACTAAAGCTGGATTGTATTATTTACTTCCTTGCTACAAAATTCAGTCTTAGAAATTGTTCCTCCAGTATCACTCAGATTTAACCATTACTTATTGAGAACCTACTTATAGTAGGTTCCAAGGCACTGTTTAGATTTTTATTCATATAGATTCTCATCTAAATTTTTTAAAAGAGTTTTATTATTATCATTGTTTTTATTATTATTTTGTTTTTGTGGTTCTGGGTATCAAATCCAGGGCCTTGAACATGCTAGGCACTTGCCACACCATCAGCCCAGGTGTTTTATTATTTTTAAATACTGATGTCCATAAATTACTCCAAAATAAGGTACATACTCAATAAATGAAATAAAAAGTGTTTTATTAGTTTTGCTCCTAAAAGTTTATTTTCTCTTGAGACTGTTTGCCCCTGTTCAGGGGGTCTTGAGTTTCCTCCATTATCTATAGGGTTGAGTTTGGAAGAATCACTGATAGGGGACTTGCCCACCTGTATACTTGTACATATTCTAGATGAGAGGCTGAAAAGACCTACCCAAGAAGCAATGAATAGGGAAAGAATCAGTAACATTGGTGGAAAAAAAATCACAAACCAGAATTCATCACACCCTTTGATATATTCTATTGTCTCTATTCCAATATGTTAAAAAGATACCTGAACTGAAAAGGATCAATAACAAGTAAACATCCATTATATAAAAGTCATATTACTGATGACTATAGAAGAGTCTACTATCAGAGAGCAACTTGGTGTCTGCCCTATGACTTGGCTCTATGAGAGTGAGAAGCACAGAAGAGAGGAGAAAGCAAGGAGTCATAATTAGGAGTACGAGTTCATTCTTGCAGCAATATGGGGACATTCATATCCTTTAGTGTTTCAAATATTCCTAATATTTAAGAAAATTAATAGTTATGCTCCTTCCTATTATAAGAACTAATAAAATAACTTGAAGATGAACAAGGCCCAAGACGTAACTTTTACTAATGAACCCCCAAAGGACTTCAGTATCCAAAAACATACGGAAAGGAACAATGTTTATGTGATATTATCCTATTTTTATAGCACTTAATGCTTTTGAAAGATTTATGTCCATATTTTTCACTTGCATGATTCCCAACATAATATGAACACATAATACATAAAAAAGCATCAGCAAATGATCACCTTGAAAGTATGTAGAGTTGATCTGGCAGTTGTAAGGTAGAAAAATTGGGGGTGTATGAAAGACATTTCCATCAACCCAAAATTGTGTTTCTTCTTATTAATTCTATACAAGGATTTATGAAAAACATTGATACAGTAAGACATACCAACTTATAGGAAAACAGACCCTGAGGATTACTATTGACAATATAGTATGTGTATTAGTCACCTGGAAAACTGAAAGACACTGGAATCCAGAGGTTTAAGTTGAAGAGAAGGTGATCTGCTTTCTTCTCCAACAGATGGAAGCAGGGTAGGACTATCAATTCTCTCATATTCGATTGTCTTGTCATTCAGTCCAGCCATATCTTGAACAGAAGGAATCTTTGGTGGATTACTGAATGCCTAGCAAAGAAAGAAATGATTCATAAAAATCCCAAATTAAAACCAAGCTTTAAAGATGAGTCAATCCTTCTGATGCTAGGAAAGAACGCTTGGCCAAATAAAAAGAAACTGTTTCCTACACAAAATAAACAGCGCGCAGAAATGTACACTAGAACAATGAACCCAGGCACATTCAGTTATTAACCTTATCAGCTAGACACCAACAGACCTCCCCCAAATTAGTTACTGGCTCCTAGAATTATCCTACCCACAACATAAATCAAGGCCCCTAATCACTGTCTATTTCTATCTTGTGACCCAGTTGAAGGCTGGGTTTTCATTCTTCTGATATCTGTGATGAGAGTAGGAGTGGAGGGAAAAAGCATTGCAGCAAGTGTCTGTGCTGGTTTGGGAGAAATGCATGCAGGAGATGACACATGTTCACAGTGCACACACACAGAGACATGCATTTGGGATATTGTGGGAGAGCCAGCTTATGAAAATAGTATGAATGATTAAGGTAAAGGAATATAAAGGGGAGGTAAACTGAATGAGGACAGAGCAGTCCTAGGAAATCTCCTGATCTCTATATCAGACTATTAATTCAAGACATTAGTATACAAAAACCTGATTACTCATATGCCTGTGTTTTGGAAGGATATCAGAAGAAGAATTCATATTAAATTGTCTCTATCCTCACCAGTCTGACCTACCCTGATCGAGTGGGTGAAAGGTGAATCTAACATGCGACTAGCAGGTCTCTCTGGGAAATAGGGTCAAGAGGGAAATCATGCAGAATGGCAAGGTTGGGTGGGGAAGATATATGGGTGCTATGGTGGCTGTCAGGAGAGGAGTGTCCCTGAAAGGACGGCCAACCTTATTGCACCCTTCAGCGTCCGGAGCTGGGCAACCATGTCCGAGAGACAGTGCTCCTGAAAATTCAAAACAGCAGAGTCTTTATAAAGCCAGCCAGCCTGAAAGCAGGGATTGGGGAGAGGCACAAAGAACCACCCTTTCTTCCCAAGAGGAAGGAGGAAGGAATCATCCCTGAATCCTGGAAGAAAGGAGACAGGAAAACCAGACACTCAACAGGAGCAGCCTGTAAGAAGATGGGACACAACCCTGAATATTCTATGACGCCAAAAGTGACAGTATTGTCCACAATCAGTACTGAACCCAAATCTGGGAAATAAATTATTTGACTCTTCTATTTTAGGTGGTCTGAGCATCAGTAACAGCAGATCAGCACAAAACCCAAAGTTCCAATAAAAAGAAAAGACCACAAGAAGTAATGGTTATTTTATGTAGATTTCAAGATTGCTGCTTTCTTCAACCTATATCTTCTGTTGGGGAAAATTGTGTGTGAGAAAAGGAATAGAGTGGACTATTTCTCACCTGGAGGTTCTCATTTTCCATAGATATCTTCTTCTTCTCAACAGATTGATCTCTAGAAGATAAAAGTGCTATTTAGTTCACTCATGAAATGTCTCAAGTATAAATGGATTACCAATTACAGATTTAGGTTATAATGTTCATTTAAAGTTAGAAATAGTGTGTCATTGAGTAACTAAAGGTGCCTTCCTGAACTATACTACTGAAGGAAGTTTTCAAATGCTCTCTCTCTCTGAGAGATGGGCTGGAGGAGAGGGAGGGAGGGAGGGAGGGAGGGAGGGGGGAGAGAGGGGGAGGGAGAG